TTTAATGCACATGTAATAAGATCCTTTAGTTTACTCAATTTGTGCAACATAAATTTCAAATTTATTTTTATTATTAACAGAACTGGATTTTTAATTTTTAAATCAAGTCTCAGAAAAATTCCACGAAACTGAAAGAGTTGACATTATCTTAATAATTGGGAAAATTACTCGTAATATTGCAAAATACCAAACCTTTTTTTGAGTTGCAAACACACCTTTATTTCTTTAAGAGAGAGAGAGAGAGAGAGGGGGGAGAAAAATAGTTTAAGAAGCCTGCAGCATTAATTAGCCACCGCCTCAGCCTTTTTCCTACGAATCTCACAACATTCAACAGCCTCACTCCCAATCTTTTTCTATCCAAACGTGGAAATCTCGTTCACTACTTGTACACAAATCTCGTTCTCTTTTTGAGATTTGGTGAAAAAATTAAAGGAAAAAAAAATCAATGGGAGGAGTATCAGCAACTGTGTACAGAGGAATCACACGATACTGGCGTCGGAAGGGATACGAGAGGCTAAATGGATCCCTCGCCTGTCGAGGAAGGAAATCTCGTGCGGTGGAGCTAGGTGTTGCCGATGGTTCTAGCCGTCGACGGCGGTTCTGGAGGATAAAATTGACTCCAAAGCTGAAGCTCAAGCTCCGGTTCACGCCGAAGAAGTTTTTGTGCGGATTGCGCGATGCATACGTGAATATGATGATGAAACTTGCGAACACGAGAATGATCAGCAACGGATTTGCTGGCGGATACGCCGGAGATGGAGCGACTGGATTCGGAATGAGACCGATCAAGGAGTATGATGAAAGGATGATTGTGGAGATCTACAAATCGATTATCATGGCGCAAGGTCAATTGATGCCGCCAGAATTGGCTCCGGGATTGCATGCCTACGGTAATAAAATAAATTAATGCTATTATCGCCCAGTCCACAACATTCCAGATCAATGAATTTAAATCCTCTTTTTTTCCCGCAATTGAATCTGTCCTCTGTTGTAACTTTAACAATAACCATGGAATAAAATGTGCAACAAGAAAACTTTAGAATTGAAGTGTGTTCGTTAGCATGGCCGTCTAGCGATAAAACTTGGTATATGTATGAGCTCATATACACTTTTTAAAATTATTTTATCTTAATTTTTGTCATATTTTGGTTATCTTTTTCTCTATTAGCAACAATTTCGTCCATTTTGACTGTTAGATGAATACAAAATAGTCACACACTATAATCCGATGAACCGACCTAATGATAGGAAGAGAAAGAACCGCATCTAGTTACAATTTATTTGATCCTAAAAGGTGAATTTAGGCACAATCTAAGAATTTACATATCGATTAAAATTGAAAGTGGGGATCACCTATTGCCTAACTTTAGAGATAGAATTGTGGAGACGAGAGGGGCCATTTTTGGTCAAGAGAAAGTATTTATGTGATGAATTCGGAATAAATTGTGAATGGGAGGTGATAGTGAAATAATGGCCACAAGGAAATCACTGAAAAAGATTGACGGAACAAAACTATAAATGTGGGCCTTATGAAAATTAATTTTTATTATATTAAAAGCCGAAATATATTGGTAGGGATTGGATCGCATTATAATAAATCTTTTCCGCCGACATCTTAGGTTAATCGAAAGCTTATGTTAGTCAACCAAACTTAATATTCCATTTTGCTCGTTTTCTGCAATAATAATAGCTAGTGCCGTTAAATCCGAACACGATATAAAAATTTGTCCCTACTTTATCTTCAAGTCAGGTTGCCCTTTTTTTTTTTTCTCTTTTTTATTTAATTTAAAATAAGATTGTAATAGTTTTATTTTTAGCAAAAATTATATAAAATTTTAGTTGTTAAATTGATGGCAATCGACTCAAAAAAAAAAAAGGGAACGTCAACCGTCTACCTAGACTCACTTGATATTAATTTGAAATGCGAATAATTTAGTCCATACTTAATACAAAAGTCGAAGACCTGCGTACTCAATTTTATTTTAATTATTTATATAAAGCTCCATATAAAGTTGGTCTAATGTCCTCAAAATTTCAAAGCTGACCTTGGTCCTGGATAGAGAGGCAAGGTTAAACTGCCCGGGGTGATTATCATTGAGTCAATTCTCTTCTTTTTTTTTTGCTTCTCCTTCACTGTTTTTTTTTTTTTTTATGTTTTGTTGGTATTTTTATTTAGAAAAAGTTGGCCATTTGTCTTCAGCGTGGATGCTTAGGGAATAGAAGGTAAAGAAAGGGAAAATTAGACCCTATACCCTTTTTTTTTAAAGTGTTTTGATTAATACTGTTTCGCGTGGTTACTCGCTAACAATTAAAAGAGGATCAGACAATTGTGTAAGGAACAAACCTCTTGGAACAAAGTCCCAAAAAGGGGTGTTTATTCGAATATGAAGATTACTGTTTGGATACGAACAAAATGCTTTCAAGGGGCACAAGCACACAAGTACAAGGAGATGAATTAATTAAAGTTAATTTAAGAAAAAGTAAATTACATATTCTCTATTTGAGAGTGAATTTTTGTCGGGGCCTTCTTCATTGCTTTCCTCTTCCTTTTATACTCCTTGGACAGTTTCTTAACCGTTTGGACT